AAAATGAAACAGTACGCAGACATGACAAGACGAGCCAAAGAACACAACTTTAAGTTAGGAGACGTTGTATATGTGGCGAGTATGGAAGATGGTCGCGAGAGATACATAGAGATACTCGCTATGTACTGCTGAGGCACACATCGGACAATTCCTTTGAAATGGTCAATGTAGAGGATGGCACTAGGATTGTGAGAAATGTGAAGCACATTCGTCATGTTCCTGTTCAGCTGGAGATTAACATACCAGAACCTACAGAAATACAAAGTGATCAAGCAACTCAAGAGACAGTGGTCAAGTCAGATTCCTCAAAAGAGCCACAGAGTTCTTCTGTCACAGTACCAGACAACAGCAAGCCTTTGACTACCCGTAGTGGTAGAGTGATTAAGAAGCTAATTGTAGCTATAATTTCTCTGTTACCCAAATATGATTATATTTCATTAAGTATTTTATCAAAAGAAATCACATAAGTTCATAAGATTTTTAATTATAGTAATATAATTTATATGGGGATCAGAGGGATGTGGGTGGGCAAGCCATGTAATGCCATGTTAAACCTTTTTCATACTCCAAGCTATCCTGATGCACTGGTGACTTCATGTGCCTGTGTGAGTCGTGAAAATTTTAAAATAAATCTAGGAATTATTGGATTGTTGGATTTCAAATCAGTAGGGGTTGAGGCATCAAAAGTAACTAAGTAACTAGCTGTTTTATGGATGGTAACTGTAATATTATTACTAAAATCTTATTAGTAATTAGTTACACTACTAGTTACTGCAAAGAGAAATATTATTACAGTAACTAGTTACTGCCCAACACTGGAAATGACACACTTCACCTTTAACTAAAATACTCTCTTCACAATTTTCCAGATTACAGGGAGGCCTTCGGACTTTTCGACAGAGTTGGTGACAGCAAAGTAGCCTACAACCAAATTGCAGATATCATGCGTGCACTGGGACAGAACCCAACCAACAAAGAGGTTACAAAGATCCTGGGCAACCCTACAGCTGATGGTAAGCGGATTTGTTTTTCCTTTTCTTTAAACTTTTAATTAGCTTTTCCAAAAGTACCTTTAGTCAACATCAGCACTCTCAGGAGCTTTCACCATGACATATTTCAGATGCGTTTCTTTATCTTTAATTGGTAGAAGGTTGATGTGGTGACAGGTGTTTGTAGTGCATTGTTTCACTACATCTGCCCTCTACGACCCCTCCATTAACTTTTGACCTCGTTTACAGAAATGGCAAACAAGAGAGTCGACTTTGAGGGTTTCCTGCCCATGCTGCAGTTTGTGGTCAACAGCCCAAACAAGGCAACATACGACGACTATGTTGAGGGTCTGCGTGTATTCGATAAGGAGGGCAACGGAACTGTAATGGGTGCTGAGTTGCGTATCGTCTTGTCAACACTGGGTAAGGGGCCAAAAGTGTTTTTGAATTGAATAAACCAATTAATTTAGATGCTACCATTTTTTTCAGTGAAGTTGAGAACTATTAATATTATGCTTCTAATCAAGTCTGTTGTCAAGCTATAATAGCTTTAAACGGTGGCTGTCATAAAACATTTTGGGAAAATTACCTCTATAGATTTCAAACAATTTTCAGACATTTTTTTGACAGGATTAGGAGATTTATTCAAATTTATTTAAAATGTATTGACAATTTGTACAGTATATTTCAACATAATTTTTTTCGTGCTAGAAATTATTTTATTATGAAATTTGAAAGTAAAGACTTTGTTTATTAAAAATGATCACAGTAAAAACTTGTGAAAATTCAGTTTTTTTTGTTTATAATCTTGTTTCCCCACAAACAGCTCATTGATACTTAAAACTAAATCATAGATCCTCTCACATAACCTATATCTGTGTTTAAATGCATTTTATGACAAGCATCAGTTTTCCATCTATTTAATGACCTGAACAACCCATTTTTCTCTCTTCTCCTACAGGTGAGAAAATGAATGAAATTGAGATCGATGCTCTCATGCAAGGCCAGGAGGATGAAAATGGCTGTGTGAACTATGAGGGTCAGTTATGATCCTTTCTTTGTCTCACTGAACATTTATTACAGTAAAATGTTTTAATGGCAGACTGATTTATAGACATAATGTTTATTTGTTGTCCTGTAATTCTAATCCCACTTGGACTTTTTTTTCAATCTCTCCATTCTGAACAGCTTTCGTCAAACACATCATGTCTGTGTAAGAAGTCGGAGTTGTGAGGAAACTGAAGCGTTTCTCCAGATTCCATGATGTCAGGACATCCATACAATATTTCCAAAGCCAACTCAGAAATGGATGAAAGGGACACGGATGTTAGTCATAAACAGTTATTTTGTTATTTGTGTTTCCTATTTTTTTTCCTATTTCTTTTGTCTGTTCTTGGAAGCCATTGATATTTTTTCCCAGCTAATTTTCTTGGTGTTGTTCATGCCGGGACAAGCCTCTCCGTAGTGGAACGGTGGTGAGGAGTGTGGGGGGGACATCGTAGTTACACAAAAATATAAACCCACCCCCCTTGACCCCTCACTGTCTGGATCACAAAGTCAAAGGTGCTAAATATACTGCCATTAATAGACTGTCTGCAAAACCTCCTTCCCTTTCCCCAGAGTCTTAATTTATTTGTTGCCTCTGTCAATTCTCATAATAAACTTTTCACAAAGTGTCTGCCTTGTTGTGATTAATGTTCTCATACTCAGCACACAAGGCAGTAAGGCAAGTGGAACAGGTAGGTAAACCAGATTGATCATTTAAATATCTTAGCAGTAGTTGACTTTGTGGCACTGGGGATTTAAAGCTGACATGAAACAGTATTCACTACCCATTTTACTTCCATAATCTATTGTAACAGAGTGAAAAAGGATATTCAACAACAACAAAAATGCAGATTTTATTGATCAGGAATTGACTGGATAAGGAAAAAGAAAAGAAAAGTTGTTTAAAATAAGACCAGAAATGTGTATCAAGAAAGTTAATCGGGTCAACTGCTAAGAAACTCAAAGATGCAAACTTGTCACATTTTGGCCTTGTGACCTGCATTTAAAATGCAATACAAGCCAACCATCATCTGTTTATAAATCTGTTCTCAACAAAAGACAAGGTTGAAGGTTTCCCTGCACTTTTTCGTCAAAATAAAAGCTCAATGGTTTAACATTGATAAAAGCGAAGATGTTAAGACAGGCATAAATATTAGTAATGCAATCTTACAGTTGCTCTGTAAAATTATATATATACAGTATATTCGCCATATCCTGATGCTAAAATTGACTGTAATTTCACCAGACAAACTAAGAAAAAGTCATAATCTTTCAACAGAAATCTATTAAACACATGTTCACAACATGAGGCCTGCAACAAATTAACTAATTATTTATGATGAAATGTTGTAAAATGGCAATTAAATTTACAGTGAGACTGATTAACAATTTCATCAGGTTTTTTTAAATCATGGCTAAGGGGCCATTTTTTTGTCCTGGACACTTTAATTCACACAATAGATTTCCACTTACCTTTTCTAAAATCACTATAATGCACAGCTTATACTGTAACTGTTATTGCTTTTTTTTGTGAGGAAACTGAAGCGTTTCTCCAGATTCCATGATGTCAGGACATCCATACAATATTTCCAAAGCCAACTCAGAAATGGATGAAAGGGACACGGATGTTAGTCATAAACAGTTATTTTGTTATTTGTGTTTCCTATTTTTTTTCCTATTTCTTTTGTCTGTTCTTGGAAGCCATTGATATTTTTTCCCAGCTAATTTTCTTGGTGTTGTTCATGCCGGGACAAGCCTCTCCGTAGTGGAACGGTGGTGAGGAGTGTGGGGGGGACATCGTAGTTACACAAAAATATAAACCCACCCCCCTTGACCCCTCACTGTCTGGATCACAAAGTCAAAGGTGCTAAATATACTGCCATTAATAGACTGTCTGCAAAACCTCCTTCCCTTTCCCCAGAGTCTTAATTTATTTGTTGCCTCTGTCAATTCTCATAATAAACTTTTCACAAAGTGTCTGCCTTGTTGTGATTAATGTTCTCATACTCAGCACACAAGGCAGTAAGGCAAGTGGAACAGGTAGGTAAACCAGATTGATCATTTAAATATCTTAGCAGTAGTTGACTTTGTGGCACTGGGGATTTAAAGCTGACATGAAACAGTATTCACTACCCATTTTACTTCCATAATCTATTGTAACAGAGTGAAAAAGGATATTCAACAACAACAAAAATGCAGATTTTATTGATCAGGAATTGACTGGATAAGGAAAAAGAAAAGAAAAGTTGTTTAAAATAAGACCAGAAATGTGTATCAAGAAAGTTAATCGGGTCAACTGCTAAGAAACTCAAAGATGCAAACTTGTCACATTTTGGCCTTGTGACCTGCATTTAAAATGCAATACAAGCCAACCATCATCTGTTTATAAATCTGTTCTCAACAAAAGACAAGGTTGAAGGTTTCCCTGCACTTTTTCGTCAAAATAAAAGCTCAATGGTTTAACATTGATAAAAGCGAAGATGTTAAGACAGGCATAAATATTAGTAATGCAATCTTACAGTTGCTCTGTAAAATTATATATATACAGTATATTCGCCATATCCTGATGCTAAAATTGACTGTAATTTCACCAGACAAACTAAGAAAAAGTCATAATCTTTCAACAGAAATCTATTAAACACATGTTCACAACATGAGGCCTGCAACAAATTAACTAATTATTAATGATGAAATGTTGTAAAATGGCAATTAAATTTACAGTGAGACTGATTAACAATTTCATCAGGTTTTTTTAAATCATGGCTAAGGGGCCATTTTTTTGTCCTGGACACTTTAATTCACACAATAGATTTCCACTTACCTTTTCTAAAATCACTATAATGCACAGCTTATACTGTAACTGTTATTGCTTTTTTTTTTACCTGTAAGGAGGCAATGATACCATAACTATAGGTCATTACACATTTCACAAGCACAAAAAAATATATATAGATCACACTAATATTTTGTTCATTTTCTGTATTTTTATTGTCATAACTGTTAAGGGCATTTATAATCCGTATCATACCAACAGGAGAAAAACTGCGTACATCTATGTGACCTTTTAAATACATTTACAGCAGCTGAGGGAATCAGGGAAAGGGTGGGTAAGGCTCAGAGGGGCCGAGAAAACACAGAAGCCTACGAATGACAGCTGTTCTAGAGGAAAAGGGGCAGGGGAGAACCACAAAAGACGAGAGAAAATATACTGGAGTACTGTGTTCAAACAGATGCAAGCGGAGTGAGTAACCTTCTTAAAGTTTCGTTTTATGTGTTTCTTTTTCCACATCCTAAGAAAGAAAACTAAGCATCCAAGCAGGAATCAGCAACCAAACACAGGACCTAACACACCGACAGACTCCCAAGGAGGGCCGCAGCACCACCCATCTTGCTCAGACAGATCCGTCCCATCTCGACTCAGAAAAATGGCGGTACGGTTCACATTTCAAGACTTCAAATCCGAGCAGATCTTACATGATTCATGTATACCTGGAGCCCTTGAATGTCTTTGCGTAACCGTAATATCATTGTTTTGTGTAAGTCGCCGCACAAATCTGCTTAAACTGTGTTTGATCTCTGGAACAAAGATCCACGAAAGCAATGGTTACTGCGAAGGCAGGGGTGTGGGCGGTCATCCGAAATAATGTACCAAGCTAATCATCGTCGCTAGTATCTACAAAGCATGGTGTTCTTTTTATTCAATGTTTCAGCAAATAACTTACTAAAATCCCTTGAGATAGAAAATAGCCTCTTTTTGTGTACTAGAATACATGCTCATCATACTATCTAGGTTTTTTTAATGCAATTGTACAGGTATAAGTTATCTAAGGATTAATCTTTTTTTTTTTTGATTGAGCATGAGATGTTGAGACAAAGAGCTGGCATACTTATAAATATATTCCCTTATAGTGTATATCGTGTTTGATCGTACGTGACTCGCAGTTGAGATGTTTTAGAGTCCATGCACTGAATGGGCAAAACAACACGTGCAGCATGAGATCGTCGCGCCACATTCCCGAATATAAAAAATTCTGATCGACCGACTTTTACGCAAAACACCTGACGCTGACCCTAAACCAGCATTTGAGGTCACTGTCTGTACACAACCATAAAATGTCACATGTAACATGGGTAATAAAAAGCACTGGTACCTCTCTAGCTAAGTCATTATTCATTAAAATTAACAACAACCAAAAAAAATCAGATTTTTTCCAATTCAGATAGTCACAACAGGGCGCTGCAAGATTGTTGGTTGATGAAGAGGGAAGTGTGAATATGGGAAGTGAATCTGTAGTCTTCCATAAATACCAGAGGGAGGAAAGGTGAACTGTGACACCACTGATGGGGACTACTGGAGACTGACCGGAGGGGAAAGTCGAACGGAGACGTTTCGGGGGGATTCACAAGCCTTGTTTGGCAAGGGCGGCGGTCACATCCTCGGCCAGCGTGGCCAGCTGTGGCGACTCGAGCATGTTGAGGCTTCCAGACGAGGACATGTGGCTGTGCCGGTGAGGGGAGGTGCCGCCCGACAGCCTGAGCGCCTCGATCACAATCTCCGCTCCGTGATCCACGCGTGCTTTAGCCGTGTCACGGTATATCATCTTATGGCTTTCGATCTTAAGAAGCAGGAAACAGGAAGTTGGAGACGGTCTTCATGTATGATGTGGGATGGGTAAGTACGAACATCTGCTTTTGTGCACTCACCTGTACATGTCCTCCTCCAGGTATATGGTGGGCATTTTCCAGGGAGCCCACCTTCGAATGGGCTTTTTCTCTGAAGCCCAGCTTCACACTCTCAATGCGCACATGACCACCACCTGAGACACAGACAGAGTCATTAAACAATTAATCAATTTCTCATTTTTTCTGCTGGTACAATCTCAAAAAAAAAAAAAAAACTTTTTACGAATGTAAAGATTTACACTACAGTTTTAAAACTTTTTTAATGCTTTTGAAAGAAGTATTTTATGATCACCAAGGCTACATTTATTTGATAAAAATACAGTAAAAACAGTAAAATTGTGAAATATTATTACAATTTAAAGGAACTGTTTTCTATCTTCTTATATTTTAAAATGCAGTTTATTCCTGTGACAGCGAAGCTTAATTGTTAGCAGGCAGCCATTACTCCAGTCTTCAGAAATCATTGATTGCTGATTTGGTACTCAAGAAACCTTTCTTATTATTATCAATGTTTAAAACAGATGTGCTGCTTTATATTTTTTGTGGAAAACATGATACATTTATTTCAGAATTCTTTGATGAATAGAAAGTTCCAAATAACAGCATTTATTTAACATAGAAATACATTTTTAATCACTTTTATAAATGTAAAAGGCATAAAATGTAATGCTGTAATCAATTTAATGCATCCTTCATTACTTAAAAAAACATTAATGACTCCAAAGCTCTGAACAGCAATGTATGTATATTCTGCAAAATCTTTATAAAATATTAAAGTAGACCTATATAAAATCTATCTTATTTAAAATACAATGGCGCAAAAAAAAATGTAAAAAAAATAAATGATATTTATATAATGATGCTTTTTAATCACTGTCCAATGTTCATCACTGGAAAGGTCTTGCAAGACTCTTACTGCAGAAAATTTCACATTTTGTAAATTTTGCATAAAGGATCATCTGTAATGGCCGAATCACTTGAAATGGGTTTGGCAAAGGATGACATTAACAACTTAAAAACCACAAGATGACACTGTTGTATCATCCAATAGTCTAGCTCAGGCATTCCATGCTTTAAAAGCAATCTGCATGACACTGCAAATTTCCAGTGAGTGGTCAATATTTCCAGAACTCATTAGCATGCTCACCTGGCCTGTGGCGGATGTTGTCCAATGATCCACACTTGGAAGTCACATGACTAAGATCAATCTTCTTAGACTGAATTTGAACCTGTGAGAAACACCAGATGTTGAGAACAAAACGTAAAACAAAAACCGGATATATTTTTCCCATATTGATGCTGCTATATATATATATATATACAGTGGGTACGGAAAGTATTCAGACCCCCTTAAATTTTTCACTCTTTGTTATATTGCAGCCATTTGCTACATATACATATATGTATATGTATATATATATATACATATACACATACACATACACATACACATACACATATATATATACATATATACATATATATACATATATTATACATGTCAGGGGTCTGGGTCTGGTGTTTCTCCCTCTCACCACCAGAGGCCGCCATTTCCCATCCTCACGGACTCCTTTACCTTCACTCCACTCACCTGTTCTCTCATTACCTTATTCATTGATTAATTTGTCCCAGCTGTTTACCTGATTGCCTCTCCCTTATAAGCTCCCTGTGTTTTCTATTCTGGGCTTGTTTGTCTCACAGAGACATTGGTACATGCCTTTGATTTGTTGCTGCCCTGTGCATAGTTGATGTCTTGTGGTGAGCATTTATGTTACTCTGGCTTTTTGCCCTTCGGGGTGGAACAGATATGTTTTTAAGTTGTTTCTTGAAGATGGTTAAGGACTCTGCTGCTCGGATTGATTTGGGTAGGTCATTCCACCAGGAGGGAATAGTTAATGAAAAAGTCCATGAAAGTGATTTTGTGCCTCCTTTGAGATGGCACAATAATACGCTGTTCACTTGCAGAACAAGCTTCTAGAGGGCACATAACTCTGAAGTAATGAATTTAGGTAAATG